TGCTCCCACCTGCCCCTTCTTCGGAATGCTGCTGAATGGAATCTTTAATACATTATGTTGGCACAACTAGGTAGTGTCACAGGAAAACAAAGAAAATGACTCAAATAGAAGGTGAAGGCTTTCTACAGCTCTTGTGCACCAGGAAGCATCTCAAAGCAGGATTGGAATTGGCCTAGGGCAAGGAAAAGAGAAGTGTATGTGACCTTGGTCTTGTCTCAGGTTGCAATTTTTTTTCTCTGGAACTGCTACAAAACTTTCCATTGGAATGGTTGAGAGAGGTCCAGTTTTTCAGCTCTTTCTTGGGATGGTTGATGCAATGGGCAATCTCGTTTTGACAGCTCTGTGTGTGTGTGCATAAGATAGAGATAGAGAAAGTGCAATAGAGAGGTGGGGCGGTGGAGAGAGAGAGAGAGAGAGAGAGAGATAGAGAGAGAGAGAGAGAGAGAGAATATCTTCAATCAAACCAAGGAATAAATGCTCTCTCTATTGACAACTTTTGGACCAGTTTGGGTCATGAGCCCACTTCTGGAACAATAACAGTCTCCCACGGAGAAATGATGGATTGCTTGATTAAAGCCTGGGGCTTTGCATCCCTGGGGAGGGCAAAGGGATTAGCACAATTGGCCTAGGTTTCTCAGGATCCACCCTTCAAGTTGGATCACCTTCTGGCAAATTACATGGGCTGAACAGCAAGAGGCAGATATCTAAATAAAAGTCAAGAAAATGAATGAGGGACAGATGATGGGTATGTAACCAACAGCGGCACCATATATGCTTATTCCAAAGTGAGATGCACAAGTAGACATTTAACTGTAACAAACTTTTACAACATTCTTAGAATCTTATGAGTAAATATAGGAACCTCGGAAGGGAAAAGAGCACCGTGTTTAAGGGCATGAGCTCTGAGGTCAGACTGCCAGAGTTTCAATCCCAGGAACCTTGTGACCACAATCAGGTCAATGTTCTCGAACTTCACTTTCCTATCATGTAAAATGATGACAGCGACAATGATGATGACAGTATGGGATGCTACAGATTTCATGGGATTGTTGTGAGGAGTAAATGAAACAATGGACGGTAAGGCAGAGTGCATAATAAGGGCTCAAAATCACCCTTAAGTCATTGACCTGCAATTGGAACTGTTGTGATATTGAATTTGATTAATAATCATTTTCGTTGTGTGAGGATCTGACAGTATTTTCCTGAGATGTTTCCCACTGATCCAGGTGACTAACGGATGTTTTCCCCTGGTAGCATGATGCGTGTCAATGGGAACAACTGAACATTCCCATCCCCAGACTCCTGTGGCAAGAACAGGTTGACGTGACGATGCGTAGATTGATCCGCCCGGCCCCTCCACCTGAAAGTATTAAATCTATGATGGCATTTTCATGATAACATTGACGTTCTCCTTTCCTCACTTTTCAGGGCAATGTCTCTAGGTTGACTCTCTAATTGACTCTCCTCTTACAACCGTGGTGAGGCTCCAGAGTTCCAGCAGAGCTCAAATGTTATGTAATTTTCACTTGTTTCTTTAGCTTAACCTAGCTGGTGAGAGGTCTCCACACACCCACAGATATTTCATTGACCCCTTGCCTGGAACTGAGTGCAATTTCTCACCTCTACTTATGACCAGAGCAGAATGCCACAGAATGCAGGGACCAATGAAGGGACCGAAGCCCCTCCCCCTCGTCCACTGCATCGACTCCTCCTGTTTTTTCAAACAATGATCGGCATTTTCTTGGTTTTATGTTGACTATTAGACAAATGCAGCTCCAAGACAGATCCCTTAGAAGACCTTCCTTCGCCACAGATCGCCACCGTTCATTCAGATAGACCCTTGGTTGTCAAGGCAAGTTCTGAACCATCACCACCTGAAATCTGGCTTCTTCCTTCTGTACTCCTCAGATTACAGTATAATCTGATTCCTTCTCCGTAATCACAAGAAAGCAACCATCTTTCTCGAGGCTGAATTCCCAGAACATCACTCTCACTCTTCCATCAACTTTGACACCTATCTCTCTTCTCAACTCTTACATCACCCTTAAAAATAGTATTTCCAGGGGCACCTGGGTGGCTCAGTCGGTTAAGCGTCTGCCTTCAGCTCAGGTCATGATCCCAGGGTCCTGGGATCGAGCCCCACATCGGGCTCCCTGCTCTGCGGGGAGTCTGCTTCTCCTTCCCCCACCCCCCCTGCTTGTGTTCCCTCTCTCGCTGTCTCTCTCTCTCTCTCTCTCTGTCAAATAAATCTAAAATCTTTTAAAAAAACAGTTATTTCCAGTGCCACTGACCACACCTGTCAGGACAGGACTTGGTAACAGGATGGATGCCTGTCGTGTGCGGCTGCTGGAGACAGTAAGTCCAATGTGAAGCGGGAAGGCAAAGCAGGAAGCTGGGACAGTGCAGGGGAGGTGAAAGAAACATTTAATAATGTGTAAAGATATAGTCAGCAACAGTGAATTTTACTCCAGTGCATGGGCTTGGACATTTATGTGTTTTCAGTTTTGCCCGACAAATTAGTTTCCTCTATAAACACAAAATCTACTCTCCATTCTTGGCTCACCTCACTTTAAAACAACCCAAGAGTCTGTAATGTAATTCTTGTTGTATTTGTATAGATTTCGTTTTTTAAAAATGTTTTACGTATTTATTTGTCAGAGAGAGCGAGAGAGAGCGAGCACAAGCAGGGGGAGCGGCAGCCAGAGGGAGAAACAGGCTCCCCGCTGAGCAGGGAGCCCGATGCGGGGCTCAATCCCAGGACCCCAGGATCACGACCTGAGCCGAGGGCAGATGCTTAACCGCCTGAGCCACCCAAGCATACCTAGATTTCATTTTTATGTCTGTGATAACAATAAAGGATCTTGTTTTATGTTGGAATGTTTTCAAAACACTTTAGAAACGTTTTGAGTGGCAAAGAATACTTGGTATTTTAGATATTATCTACAATTCAACTTATTTGAATGTAATATAACCGCTTCCAGGGAGATGAGGAGAACCCCAGACATTCTGGGACTTTTCTTTTGTCCCTTTGCAAATTGAAGTGCCCAAATATGGAGAGATTTTTAAAAATTTTATTTTATTATGATAGTCACCGTACATTACATCATTAGTTTTTGATGTAGTGTTCCATTATCCATTGTTTGCATATAACACCCAGGGCTCCATGCAGAACGTTCCCTCCTTAATACCCATCACCAGGCTCATCCATCCCCCCACCCCCCTCCCCTCTAGAACCCTCAGTTTGTTTCTCAGGGTCCATCGTCTCTCATGGTTCATCCTCCCCTCCAATTCACCCCCTTCATTTTTCCCTTCCTACTTTTTTTTTTTTTAACATATAATGTATTATTTGTTCCAGGGGTACAGGTCTGTGATTCAACAGTCTACACAATTCACAGCGCTCACCATAGCACATACCCTCCCCAGTGTCCATCACCCAGCCCCCCATCCCTCCCACCCCCCTCCCCTCCAGCAACCCTCGGTTTGTTTCCTGAGATTAAGAGTCTCTTACGGTTTGTCTCCCTCTCTGGTTTCATCTTGTTTCATTTTTTCCTCCCTTCCCCTATGCTCCTCTGTCTTATTTCTTAAATTCCTCATATCAGTGATATCATATGATACACGTCTTTCTCGGATTGACTTATTTCACTTACCGTAATACCCTCTAGTTCCATCCACGTCGTTGCAAATGGCAAGATTTGGGGGTTTTGATGGCTATGTAATATTCCATTGTATATATATGCCACATCATCTTTATCCATTCATCTGTTGATGGACATCTAGGCTCTTTCCATAGTTTGGCTATTGTGGAGATTGCTGCTATAAACACTGGGATGCAGGTGCCCTTTCGGATCCCTACATTTGTATCTTTGGGGTAAACACCCAGTAGTGCAATTCCTGGGTCATATGGTAGCTCCATTTTCAACTGTTTGAGGAGCCTCCATACTGTTTTCCAGAGTGGTTGCACCAGCTTGCATTCCCACCAACAGTGTAGGAGGGTTCCCCTTTCTCCGCATCCCCGCCAACATCTGTCGTTTCCTGACTTGTTAATTTTAGCCATTCTGACGGGTGTGAGGTGGTATCCCATTGAGGTTTTGATTTGGATTTCCCCGATGCCGAGCAATGTTGAGCACGTTTTCATGTGTCTGTTGGTCATTTGGATGTCTTCTTTGGAGAAATGTCTGTTTATGTCTTCTGCCCATTTTTGATTGGATTATTTGTTCTTTGGGTGTTGAATTTGATAAGTTCTTTATAGATTTTGGATACTAGCCCTTTATCTGATATGTCATTTGCAAATATCTGGAGAGGAGATTTTTTTTTTCTCTATATTTGGGCAAGGCAGATGAGACTATGGTGTAACCTGCACACAGATTCGCTAAAAGTTCTTTCTTTTAAAAACAGGATAGAGGTAAAATACGGGAAAGAAAAAAGTTAAGTAGTTGAAAGTCTTATCCCAGGATGGATGATGGGTTGGAAAGGTTCAACCCTTTGGATAGACACAGGCCCATAGAAGCATTGATGACTACAGCCAGCAGATGGCAGCAGGGGGCCATGTCGGGAGAATTCACCCACGGGGAAAAGCCCCACTTGGACCTTTGGGCCTAGGAACCAGCATCTACTGGGAATTGGTAGAGGATCTGATGCATTTCCCAGTAGAAACAAAACAAAACAAAACAAAAAACATCAGTGCCAGAGTCTTCCAGAAGCCCAGGGTTAGAGTCTGGCAACTAAAAATGAAGGGCCCACAGAGCACAGTGATTATAGTCAACAGTACTGTATTATAAACTTCCAAGCGGCTAAAAGACTAGATCCCAATTGTTCTCACCACAGAAGAGAAATAATTATGTAATGGGGTAGAGGTGTTAGCTAACACTATGGTGATGGTAATCAAACTGCAGTATATAAATGTATCAAATCGACATGTCGTACCCCTTAAGCTGACACGATGTTGTATATGGCAATTATATCTCGATGAGTATTAAAAAAAAGAATAAATACAATGAAGGGTGCTCACTTCAGCAGCACGTGTACGAAAATTGGAACGATACAGAGAAGATTAGCATGGCCCCTCGCAAGGACACGCAAATTCATGAAGCCTTCCATATTGAACACAAAAATATAAGGGTCCAGAGCCCTCGGTTGCCCTAGTCTGCGAGACGAAGAGGGGAAGGGAGGCACTGGAGCGAAGTCATAGGAGAAAGAGTGGGAGGAGGGTCAGTCTGTGACACACAGGTGACAGTGGAGAGTAGGAAGCAGGTTAGAAAGGGTGGGGGTCATTTCTTTTTGTGTGACCTGGCAGTGGCACTGATTTTAACCTGCTCTAAGAATAAGAGGAAGCAACCCAAATGTCCTTCAATGGATGAATGGGTAAGCAAAATGTGGTGTGTACATACAGGGGAATATTATTTGGCTTAAAAAGGGAGGAAATTTTGAGGTGCTTGGCTGGCTTAGTTGATTAAGCGTCCAACTCTTGATCTCGGCTCCCAGCTCTTGATCTCCGGGTCGTGAGTTCAAGCCCCGCCTGGGGCTCCATGCGAGGCATGGAGCCTACTTTAAGAAAAAAAAAAAAAGGAAGGAAATTCTGACACAGCCTACAACGTGGATGAAACTTGAGGACATTATGCCACGTGAAATAGCCCAGTCACAAATACCATAAAAAGACAAATACGGTATGACTGTACACATATGAGGTATCTAGAATAGTCAAGTTCATAGAGATAGAAAGTCGAATGGTAGTTGCCAGGGACTGAGGGGAGGGAGGAATGGGAATTTGTTGTTTAATAGGTATAGAATTTTGGTTTTGCAAGATGAAAATTTCTGGAGGTTGGTTGTACCACAATGTGAATATACTTAACACTACCGAGCTTAAAAATACTTAAAAATGGTAAAGATAGTAAATAAGGTGCCATGTCTTCTGATCCTTAAGGAGTTGTAGGCCATGCCAGGCAGGGTGGTAGGACAGGGCGTTGACATCAAGTTAGTGTAAAAAATAATAATACTTCACATTTAAATGGCACTTTGCAATTTTTTAAGACACACTTTTTTAATTTAAATTTTGTTAGTTAACATACAGTGCAGTATTGGTTTCTGGAATACAATTCAGTGATTCATCACTTCCATACAACACCCAGTGCTCGTCACAACAAATGCCCTCTTTAACACCCTTCGCCCATCTAGCTCATACCCCGTCCACCTCTCTCCATCAACCCTCAGTTTGTTCTCTATCATTAAGAGTCTCTTATGGCTTGTTTCCCTCTCTCCTTTTTTTCTTTCCCCCCTACCCCCATGTTCATCTGTTTTCTTTCTTAAATTCCACATATAAGTGAGATCATATGGTATTTGTCTTTGACTGACTGACTTCACTTAGCATAATACACTCTAGCTATAACCACCTCATTGCAAATGGCAAGATTTCATTCTTTTTGATGGCTGTGTAATATTCCATTTCTTTATCCATCCATTAGTCAATGGACATTTGGGCTCTCTCTGTAGTTTGGCTATTGTTGATGATGTTGCTATAAACATTGGGGTGCATGTGCCTCTTCGAATGAGTATTTTTGTATCCTTTGGTTAAATAATAGTGCATTGCTGGGTCATAGAGTAGTTCTATTTTTAACTTTTTGAGGAACCTCCACACTGTTTTCCAGAGTGGCTGCACCATTTTGCATCCTACCAACAGTGCAAGAGCGTTCCCCTTTCTCCGCGTCCTCACCAACATCTGTCATTTCCTGACATGTTAATTATAGCCATTCTGACAAGTGTGAGGTGGTATCTCATCATGGTTTTGACTCGTACGTCCCTGATGATGAGTGTTGTTGAACATCTTTTCACGTGTCTGTTAGCCATCTGGATGTCTTCTTTGGAAAGGTGTCTATAGGAATGCATCAAAATCCTAGAGGAGAACACAGCTAGTAACCTCTTTGACATTGGCTACGGCGACCTCTTCCAAGACATATCTCTAAAGGCAAGGGAAACAAGAGCAAAAATGAACTTCTGGGACTTCATCAAGATAAAAAGCTTTTGCACAGCGAAGGAAACAGTCAACAAAACTAAGAGGCAACCCACAGAATGGGAGAAGATATTTGCAAATGACATAACAGATAAAGGGCTACTATCCAAAATCTATAAAGAACTTCTCAAACTCAACACCCAAAAAACAAATAATCCAGTCAAAAAACGGGCAGAAGACATGAGCAGACACTTCTCCAAAGAAGACATACAAATGGCTAACAGACACATGAAAAAATGTTCAACATCACTAGCCATCAGGGAAATACAAATCAAAGCCACAATGAGGTACTACCTTACACCAGTAAGAATGGCAAAAATTAACAAGACAGGAAACAACAAGTGTTGGCAAGGATGTGGAGAAAGGGGAATCCCCCTCCACTGTTGGTGGGAATGCAAGCTGGTACAGCCACTCTGGAAAACAGTGTGGAGGTGCCTCAAAAAATTAAAAATAGAGCTACCCTATGACCCAGCAATTGCACTCCTGGGTATTTACCCCAAAGACACAGATGTAGTGAAAAGAAGGGCCATATGCACCCCAATGTTCATAGCAGCAATGTCCGCAATAGCCAAACTGTGGAAAGAGCCGAGATGCCCTTCAACAGATGAATGGATCAAGAAGATGTGGTCCATATATACAATGGAATATTACTCAGCCATCAGAAAGCATGAATACCTACCATTTGCATCGACATGGGTGCAACTGGAGGGGATTATGCTAAGCGAAGTAAGTCAAGCAGAGAAAGGCAATTATCACATGGTTTCACTCAAATGTGGAACATAAGGAATAGCGTGGAGGACCACAGGGGAAGGGAGGGAAAAATGGGGGGGCGGGAATTGGAGGGAGAGATGAACCATGAGAGACTCTGGACTCCGGGAAACAAACTGAGGGTTTCAGAGGGGAGGGGGGTGGGGGAAGGGGTAACTGGGTGATGGGTATTAAGGAGGGAACGTGTGGTGATGGGCACTGGGTGTTAGGTGCAACTGATGAATCGTTGAACACTACAACAAAAACTAATGACGTACTATATGCCGGCTAATTGAACATAATAATAATAATAAAAGAGATAACAAGTGTTAGTGAGGTTGTAAAGAGATCCTTATGCACTGTAGTTGGAAGTGTAAATTGGTACATTCACTGTGGAAAAAGCTATGGAAGTTCCTCAAAAAGTGAAAAATGGAACTACCAAATGATCCAGCAATCCATCTCTGGGTATATAATCAAAAGAAATGAAATCACTATCTTGTTGCAGAAGCAGACTAAAGCAAATGTTTTGTTGTGCTGATGCTTTTGCTGACTCATAAATATGTGAAAACTTATCAAGTTGTGTATTTTAAATGCATTCAGCTTCTCTTATATCAATTAAACCCTAATGAAGATGTTAAAAATGAAAACATTTTAAAAAAGAAAGGTGTCTGTTCACGTCTTCTGCCCATTTCTTAACTGGATTATTTGTTTTTTGGGTGTTGAGTTTGGTAAGTTTTTTATAATTTTGGATTGTAACCCTTTATCAGGTATGTCATTTGCAAATATCTTCTCCCATTCCGTAGGCTGCCTTTCAGTTTTGTCGATTGTTTCCTTCAATGAGCAGAAGCTTTTTATCTTGATTGTTTCCTTCAATGAGCAGAAGATTTTTATCCCAATAGTTTATTTTTGCTTTTGTTTCCCTTGCCTCAGGAGACGTATCCAGAAAGAAGTTGCCGCGGCCGAGGTCGAAGAGGTTACTGCCTGTGTTCTCCTCTAGGATTTTGGTGGTTTCCTGTCTCATATTTAGGTCTTTCATCCATTTTGAATTTATTTTTGTGTGTGGTGTAAGGAAGCGGTCCAGTTTCATTCTTCTGCATGTGGTTGTCCAGTTTTCCCAACACCATGTGTTGAAGAGACTGTTTTTTTCCCCATTGGATATTCTTTCCTGCTTTGTTGAAGGTTAGTTGACCATATAGTTGTGGGTCCGTTTCTGGGTTCTCTATTCTGTTCCATTCATCTATGTGTCTGTTTTGGTGGCACTTTGCAATTTACACAGTTCTACTGCAGAAATACCTTACCTTGTCAAGTCCTCCTAGCAACTAGTACGGAGCGGGGGTGGGTCTCTGGGTTAAAGGGAAGTAGGTGAGCTACATGGAGGAAACGCAGGGAGTGAAAGGGTTAACACGGAGTAAAGGGACACATGATAGACTTGGTGGGCAGGTGGCAGAAATGGAAGTTGAAAAAGGCAAAGCAATCAGCTCGCGATCTACTTGATTCCTCTGTTTTTCTTCGGATGTGATAGTTGGTAACTACAGCCTTGTGTATTCACATGTTTTCTGTTGTTTCTGTGCCCCATTTTTCATAAGCTCTGTTCCGAGAAGCAGGACATCTTCATAATTAAAGGTGCTTTTGTTCAAAGTTGGGCAGGTTACTTATCTCTCTTGGCTTTAGTTTTCCCTCTGATAATAGTTCCTGCTACTTCAAGCCTCAATGCATATTTTCTCTTCTCACGTGTCCAGCCCTTTGACCTCAAGAGCAAATGTCCCCCAGTGATTGAAGTTTGAGGTTTTCCTTCTCTCAGCTTGTCTTGCCACAGTATTCCCGAGAAGATTGCCAATGGCATCAAGCAGGAAAAGAACTTGTTTGCAACATACAGGTTTCATGCTTGGTAAAACTTGATGACTTCAGGGGTTTGGAAGAAAACAGGTGATGTGAGTGCAGAATTGGCTGGCCCCCAAAACTTTTCAGAGGTTAGGTGGAAACCTTCAGGCGTGCTTCTTGCCGGAGATCTCCAGAGTATCTGATTACACTAGCTGGGGTGACAGTCTGGGTAATAAGGTAGAAATTTTCATTAGTCCAGCCCAGAGAATTGTAGCCATATTGAACACCAGGAAAATTTGGCTCTGACACTTCAAGAGGCAACGCTTGTTACATTGGGTACATCCTGACCTGCTGGAGATGGGGGTGTTCAGTTCCTTCCATTCAACAGGTCCGTTCAAATTACAACCTAGTGTAGCACCTGGGTGGCTCGGTCAGTTAAGCATCTGCCTTCGGCTCAGGTCATGATCCCAGGATCCTGGGATCGAGTCCCTCATCGGGCTCCCTGCTCAGCAGAGAGCCTGCTTCTCCCTCT